TAGATAATATATAATGAAATGTAAGAGCGAGAACTATCAACAAATTTTGAAAGAGAGGATGTGACAGGTGGGTATGCCAGGAGGGGTCTGATTTTCTAATCAATAGCTTTGTAACCAAAGAAAATTGAAGGCTATAAAAATTATGGTTTGTCTGAGCAATAACAATTTTATAGAGAGTAATTTACATTTAATTTCATACTTTTTTGAGGGGTGGTGGATAAAATAGGGAAGATGACATGCTAATAGAAAATGTGTCACATGGGTTACTAGTGGAAATTCGGTATTTTTTTAAATATTGCTTTGTATAATTAAGAACTTAAACTTGTAAACTATAAAAATATGGATTATCATCTAAGATTTTGTGCTATTCAAATTGGTATAACATAAGCAAAAAGTAGTTTAATAAAATTTTGAAAGAATGACACTAAAACCTTGTGTCATGTGCAGTAAAGGATAACTGTGGCGATAAGGTTAATACATTCCATTCAATGTTCTTTTTTTGGAAATTTATCATCAATAAATAGTTGATCATCAATGATCTCTCAGACATTGGTTTAACCCTTTACATTCCACTGTGCCACATGTTTCTCAATTTTTGATATGGTTGTTTGACAAAGGTCTGGTGCCTTCATCTGTTATCTTGTATAAGGCTACCTTATCAGCTACTTTTTGTTTTTCTAGAAGAAGAAAAATTTTTTATTTTTTGATTTTGTCATTACTTTTGAAATCATATCAGGTTATACGTCCCCGTTGGTCTTTCCAGGTTCCTAATTGGGATATCACAGTGGTTCTCCATGCATTATCACTTCGACCATTTGAACCTTTGGTGTCATGTTCACTATATCATCTTTCACTTAAAACATATTTTCTTCTGCTATTGGCTAGTTGACATTGACATTCAAATGCGTTTGTGCTTCGTGTTTACAAGACACTGTACCATTCCGACTGTGTTCTGTTGTATCCAGACAGGTTCTTTCTACCTAAAACTGCAGCAGCTAGGGAAGGAGGTAAGGCTTTCTCTCCTATTCATCTTCCCTCCATTTCCCATTTATACTACTGTTCAGATCCGGATTATCTTTCATGCCCTGTTCAGGCTCTCTGATGTTATATGATGTGCAATGAAGCATTTGGGGTCCACATCACCATTTATTTATTCATTGGGATCCTTCAGTGTCATGCAACTTATCCCCTGTTACTTTGACAAATTGGATTTGTCAGTTGGTTCAGATAGTTTACTCTGGTCTATCATTGGAGGAGCGGAGACTTTTTTAGGGTCTCATCTCATCAAATTCAATATGTATTGATGTCTCTAGTAGCTCAGTTGCATTGTCCGCTGGAGGAAATTGTACAGACTGGTATGTGAACCACACCTAACACCTTTATATCTCATGAATTAGCAGTCTCTTTCTTGTATGGGGTTTGATTACTCCCCCCGTAGCTTTTCTATATGCCCTGTCCTGATTGTGACAAAAGAGTTGCTTCATTTCTTTTGTACCATTCAATTTTCAGGGACATCCTCATCATTCTCATTTTAATCCCACTTTGTGGTGAGTGTTTCCTCATCAGGTATGCTTTTACAAATTTACACTAGTTACCAGGAGATTAATCACTAAATTTATGGTAGCAATGAGCCCTGTTGAGATGTACTGTTCCAGAAGACCACCTTGGTGCTTTCTGGGTGGTGAACAATTGTTCTATATCAAATATAATATACAGTACTGGACTGTCACTCATGGTCTATCATGAGTAAAGGACAAAAAGACTTTGCCCATCCCTGCTAACTCCTGAACTGAACAAATCGGGGTTAGTTTGCTTTTCAAAATAGGGAATGTGGTTCACCTATTGCACTCTCTCCAGAGCATTGTTCCTCTGAACTCCCCAATGTGAACCCTCCCCCCCTCTTCTGGAGCTAGAGAATCCTTACCACTCTCAGTTTCCAGTTGCTAGAGTGGTGGACAGAGGGCTATTCCTCCTGAGTGATGTTTATTCTCTTTATTTATCTCAAGAAGAAGAGGGCAAAGCTGGATACCCTCCTACCTTTAACCCTGGATGGTTTTCCCAGATGTCGGTTGAAGAGCTGATCCAACCTATGTAGGAGCCTCCTTGTAATTCTGGTTCAGGGATGACACTTTGCTATCCGGTTGTGTGAGTGTGGCCCTTCTTTTTGGTCATTTTCTTACATTCCAGGATCATGGAAGAGGGTCCTCGACTACTACTAATTCCTCATGCAGAGCATCAGGTCCATAAACCATTGGTTGATCTTTCTTTGTTCCACATCTTCCTCGTAATTCCAGGGGCAGGAGGCTGCCTCCCAGGTTGATGAGTTAGGATTTTGGTTCATAATTCTAGGTTAAGTGAGGTGTGAATTGGTTCCATAATTCTGAGTTCAGTTGTTTCATTCTGGGCTTCTTCAGGTTGGGGGGAAGACTTGTCTAGTTGAATGTTGCTTGCCTTTCCTTTATAATTCCCATGGCCCTTATGTGGCATTCTGTTATTTTCAGGTTGGGTGCTTGGGCCCGTAATTCTGAGTTCAGTTTGTTGCATTTTCTGCTTCTTCAGGCTGGAGTTAGGGTTTGTCTACTTAGATGTTGCTTGCCTTCTCTTCATAAATCCGGTGGCTTTACATGCAACATCCTGTAACTTTTGGGTTGGATTTTCTTCCTATCATATTTCTATTATACAGTTATATCATATTAGTCTTCACATCCTAACCACTACACTTTGGATCTAGCTTTGCATTCAAGCCCTATAATTCCAACGATGAGACATGGAACCTCATCTCTGTGGTTGGGGCCTGCATGAATCTCGTAATAATGAACAATGTTGTTTCTGTAGCTGGTTGGTTTTTACAACCCACATTTAGATTTCACTTTATCTGGGTAAATAGCTGAATAGCATACCTGTTCCAGAAGTAGTGTGGATCCCGACATGCTTTAACATATCTCAAATTTGCACACCTATTTTTCTATGCAGATGCTTTCTGTATGAATCTTGCTTTCACCAGCCCATCCACCTGGTCAGTGTGGGATTTTAGCTAAGGAGTGAGAGGAGGTAAATGTGTTTTGGAAGTTTACATTTTCCTATACTGAAAATGTATTTCTGATAATACTTACCTATACTCACACTATCCTGCCTTTCCTCCCCACAATAGCCAGTGTTCAGGTCTGATAATCTTGCCAGTCTCAAAAAAATTAATAAGAAATGGGTAATGGGAAGCTTGTATACAGATTGGGTATAGATGTCACACTGACATAAGGTTACAATCACAAGATTAAAATCACTAGGGACGATGTAGTGGGGTATAAAAACTGGAGCAAGTGAGGTAGAATTTATACCAATACTTAGATGGGCAAAGAAGAGAATCTTTTGTGGGAATAAAGCTAAAGTGTGAGAGGAGGTAAGTATTATTGGAAAATATGATCTTTTAAGATATAACCAATTATTTATTAAATAAGTACAACAAAGCCAAGCATGGACCTTTCCCTAAATAGGATTGTACAGTCTAATAGCTGCAAATCATATGCTTTTTTCCCTTGATCTGATTCCTTTATTTTCAATTTGAGGTTAGTCATTTCTTGAGTTACAACTTTTTGTTCGCATCTGTTGAATAATACTTTTACCTACCCAAGTCATGAATCTGGTCTTCCTAAAAGTAATTAAAACCACAAGATGTTAACAAATTGACCTGGACCTAAATTTGCAAATATTTTTTGTGGAATATTTGCATTTAACTTTGAATATAATGAATATTTTGCATTTCTTCTTCTCAACATCCCCTGCTACTCAATCTCTGGGTGGGTAACAACCTATGCTGCCCATGTGATTCTTGTGCTACAGATTGAATGCTCTAAAAATTTTCACAAGTTTTTATTCTGCAATGAGATGTAAAAAACTTGTCAAAATAGGTAATTGTTTTGAAAAAGATTAATCACATTTTAGTGATTATGACAAATTTGTTGTTTAACCATCCAAGAATAGACTAACTGCTCATATAAAATACTTTTAATCACAAATCATATATACTGATATAAATTTATATAATATTGCTCTGGAAGCAAACAAATTGATGCTTTTTCTTCTCACATTATCTAACAGTTTCTTAAAACAGTAGTTTTCCAATGTGCAATTTGCATTAAGCTTTGTTCGTGACCTTCCATTATAATAGTCTGATTTTGATTGATGATATTCCAAATCCTGACAGTACTATGCTTAAGTTCGTAGAATTGAAAGATGGAGTTTAACATTTTAAGGTAACTAATTCTAATGTGAAATTTTCTCTTGTTCCTAATTTATTTTGCCTGGAATTGGTTAATGACTTTTAGTGTTGCTTGTTATAAAGCACAAAGCTACACACAATGGGCTGTCTGTTCTCTGCCCACCACAGATATCGAAACTCGGTTTTTAGCAGAATAAGTCAGAAGACATACCACTGTGCCACTGCTGGGCTACTTTTAGTGTTCATTTGCATAGCAAATTTGGAGATTGTCAGAATTCTCCATTTATTGGTTTTTGACTTTTAAAATTATGAATCCTGATTTGAGGCATGTTTTGTTTAATTCTACTTTTAAAATGTTAATGGATAAATTAAGATAAGCTTGACTCTTTGGGAATCTTACTTTATAGTTTGTTACATACATCATGAAAATTATTCTCTATAGGTTGGTTGTCTTGTGGATGCCAAAGATATTAATCTTGGAGCTTGGTTTGAAGCAAAGATTTTAAACATCTGCAAGGCTGATAACGTGTGTGAAGTTGAGACAGATAACAATGATGAGAAAGTTAGTAACTCTAACAAGAAGCTTGTAGAAAGAACAGATAATGAAACAGAGTGTGTAAATAACTTGTCAGTAAAAGAAAAGGGTTCTAACCTTGAACAAAATGGTAGCTCTGAGCATAATAGTGGTCTTAATGCAGTGTATCAAAGGAAGACTTTGTCATCATTAGGAATAGAAGATCAAAATTCCAGTGATGGTCTTGTGTACGAAGTGATGTTCGAAGAGTAAGTACAGTAGAAGTGTACATTTTTAGTCATTTATCAATAAAAATTTAAAGATGTAATTTCTTGTAATTAAACAGAATATGACATTAAGATTTTTGATTTAGTTTTTTATGGGAAAGAAATGGTACCGTAGAAAAATGTTAATTTAATTATTATAATTATAGGTTTGAAAAAAAAAAGTTGTAATTTGTGACTTGATTTATGAAACACATTTTAGTGTAATACATTCAAAAGCTTGTAACTGTTTATTTAGATTTGGCAGGTTAAGAAAAGTATTGATGAGTTGAGGGATTATGATTGGATTTAGTAATTAGTTTTCTGTTTGTTGAGAGTCAGGACATCCTTCAACCATTATGATCTCTCATAAGGCTTTACTGATGTTTTAAAATATTCATTTGATTTTACTCTTTTTTTTTTTTTAAGTTTAGGTGTCTAAGAGCTTGTTCTTACAACATTACTTCTTGTAGTATCAGATTAATTTGAAAAGTTTTCAGAGAATTTAGTTTGTTACATTGTTAATAAGTTTTCAATTATTGTGGTGGATGAAGTCATTATTATTGTTTTTTGTGATTAATCTCAGTGGATGAAACAGTTTCTTGTCAGTTTTTTTATTATGTACCTCTGATAGAATTATGCTACTTGTTTACTGATATTATTGGAAGTTCGTATGTTAGCTTATAGAGATGACAATTAAACCAATATATATGTGTGAAGGAAGAATCTACTGTGTTATTGTTTTTTTTAGGATTGTATAATAGTAGTGGTAGTTGTCCAGTTATTTTTTCTTGATTTTTTGAGATAAGCCTTTAAATTATATTTTCAACATAACAAGAAATGCTACCTATATTGTGAACAAGTTTTTAATATATTTTTGTGTCAAATTCAGCTATGAAGAGGAAGAACCGTTCAAGCTCAAACTAAGTGAGATCCGTCCACGAGCACGAACAATCATGAAGTTTGACAATATTAAAGTAGGTGAAACATATATGGTCAATTACAATATAGAGGACCCTGATGAAAGAGGTTATTGGTATGACTGTTTAATATCAAAGAAGAAAAACACTAGAACTGTTAAAGAGATTTATGGAACAATATACATGGGGTATGTACAAGTGTTGTACAAGTATTTGATATTTTTTAAGTTTTTACACTATTTGTACCTCTTAAATGTGTGAAAATTAGCCTTAATTAATCACCACAATGACAACTTTTTGGTGATTTGGTTAATTTTTAATGTGTACGAATATATGATTTTTACTTTCTAAACCATACTATTTTTTATTTTTACATGAAATCACAGTAAGTAACAAAACCTATATCAAATTAAGATGTGTACTTCAGTTTTGAGCATAGTCAACCTTCACCAGCAATGTCAGAAATATAGCTTTCCCTGACTTAATGTGTGAAAGCTTGCTTGGTTTAGTTTTTTTACACCTTTATAAACCTTTCTTTTCAAAAGTGAATTTAAGACCATTCTGCTATCCAAATAATTCTGGCATATGCCTTTCAATAACCTAACTTTTATATATGCCTTAACCACTTTTAAAACACTAGATGAGTATAAATGAAAAATGTACTTTCCATATGAAGTAATATATTTCTAAATGTTTATTGAAGTTAATTTTGTAGGTGGGTCTGAAAACAAAAACTTCTTAAAATACAGAGCTTGTTTTATGAAAAGTGGGATGCTTTTCTTTTTATAGTGAAATGTTCTTGGTAAAAATGATAATTCCTTTTTAAATACACTGAAATTTTATAAAAGTTAATCCAACAAACAGTTTTAACTAGGCTTAACTATAAAAATTAGTCATTACAGATTTTTAAAGTTGTATGGTAATTTTATTTGTATGACAAAAGTATTTGTTTACAATTAAGAAAAATCTTTCTGCTGTGATGTAAATATATTTATTTAATATGCAACTACATACTTTTAATTTGCTTTTTCTTTTCATGCACATAATGTAACATCTTTTAAAGATATTCTTTGTCGTGAAGCATAAGTAGGCCTAAAGTGTTTAAAGGTTTTTTCTTTTTTTTTTTTCTACAGGTCTGATTTGGCTCCACTAGACAACTGCAAGATCTTGTTCACAGATGAAGTGTTCAAAATTGAGGAGACTAAGGAAATTGAGTTAAATAGTGAAAGAAGTGATACATCTGCCTCTTTAGAATCACCAGCCAAAAGTATGCTTTTTTTCCCTTTAAAATAAATTTAAAATTTAGGTACTATAGTGTTTTCAAAAAATCTAAAGTTTTTATTTTTTTTTCTATTTTCAGTTACCTGCTTAAATTTTCTTCTACTGACTAAAAGAAGTATGCTTGTAAAATGTAGATGAAAACACTTCCAAATATGTATATATATCTACTCATAATTTTTTATTCATAGGCTTCATTAATTAGCTAACTTATAGTGTGTATATAAACATTTTAAATGTAATCTAGTTCTTACTGGCTGGTTGCTTGGGTGGGACTACAGATATAGAAAAGGTTTGTAGCTGTTTTTTTCTAATGTCTGAAGGAAAATTGTCTAATTGTTTTAAATCTGTATTAATGACAATAAGGATAATTTAGTTGAACTTTGGATTTTTATATATTTTTTTTTATATAGAAACATTGACTTCATCTAATGTATTGAAGTTAATTTCGTAGGTGGGTCTGAAAACAAAATGAGGTAGTAAGACAGTAAATTAAAATAGTTTTTAATTACTACTACTACTACTCAGCCATAGGTCAAAACATGTGCCTTTTAACTCTCTCAATCTCTTTCTCACTATGAGTTTGGTCCCAGGGACCAATCTTGTAACTGTTTTGTGCTTGTTATAGTTTTTATACTATATCTTGTAATACAGTAAGCGTATCTTCACAAAAGTTTGTAGATTATCATAACCTTCTAATAACTTCCAGGTAACTATCAAACTTTTTTTTTCTAGAAAAAACTGTACT